TCTTTTGGCCTTGTGTGGTCCTGCTCGTTTTTCTTATCTCGGAGATTGTGATGCCATTGTTCTTCTGAATCTGTAATTTACGATACCTTTACTGTTCATAGGAAAAATTGTCCAACTTCGTGGGTTTCCTCTAGGTCCTCCGGTTTCCTCCCACTGCTAAAGACCCCTACGCGCAAGCAAATTATTAAAATAAAAATTGAACCATATGTTAGTCCCGAAATGACCAAGTTTGTGTCGAGTGGACGTTAAACTCTCTCTCTCTTTCTCTCTCTCTCTCTTAGAAAAAAAATATATATACGAATACAGTGACCATAGAAGGGAGTGGACTGGGTAACTAGAAAACGTAACTAGCCTGATTCACCTTTTCCGCACCCCTCACAGATCATTGTTTTCCGCTTATTTAGACCATTTAGCCGATGAACAGAGGATGTGTTAGCTCCTGGGACCACGTCCTACGGTCCGAGGTCAGTCCGCCCCTATCCATAGATATTTTATTTATTTCTTGACCGTGTAAATGTCCTGGTGTAATATTTGGGGAAAGGCTGGTTTTTACACAAATAATTGGCCAGTTATCGTACTTAATACAGACCGACTAATTTCATCGTTTTATAAGGGAATCAATAGAATAAGATATAACCATTGAAACATGTGTGCTAAAACTTGTAATCGGGCTCACTCATCATAAATAGACACAATTATCACTTCGATGAAGTCGATACGGGTGGTAAATTTGGCCATTTATCGTTTCCGAATTGTACTATAAGTAGCCGCGAAGCGTCTAAAAATAGGATAGAAATTGAGTGCTAAGAATCGGCTTGATATTTTTAAGATAAAGAGACGATAATATCGGAAACTAGACATTTTCTATCAATCTCACGCGAGATCTATATCTCACGGTAACATGATTGACCCCTAGCAACCGTTGTTCAAATCAAATATGGCGGCCAATTATTTGTATACCTTCTTGCAATTATCACCAATTTCCTGTCATTGTTCACCCCAGATTTGGAGAAAGAAAAAAGTTATATAAGCAAATCTCTTCTCAAACAATAGTCGACATTTTAGTATTTACTCGTTGCTTTGTGTTTGAAAACAAGTTAACAACCGGGGACAATAGTTAACAATGACGGACGATACATCATTGTGGTATTGTCATGGCGGCTTGAACGGTTACATAGGTATTAAACAGTCAATTCGACAAAATGACGCATTCGTTTTCAACTTTTATCTTTATTAGCCGCCTATGTCATCAAAAACTCAATCTCGACATATATCAATATTTGTTCAAAGAGATTATTTGGTCATGCGTTTCGCTGCCCGGTCTTGTTTGTTTTCCCGTCCATGTTTTTGTTCCAACCACAAACGGTCAGCGATATTGTACAAATGTCGGATTTTTTTTTATATAGAAAGAAACGAAATTGGTATGCAGACCACGGTATAGATTCATTAGTAGAGTAACTGTATACACTCGCACAAATAGCACATATTCAAATAGATACAGGCTTTAGTCAAATCCATGAGTCAATTTTGTGTTTTATAAACGAGATTTGAGGGGACACCTTTTAAGTATGGAGGCCAGAAACGAAGGCTTGACATTTTAGAAAAGCAAGAAAAGAAAACCAAACACGGATAATAAAAAAAAGGGCTTTTCAAATAACCTACATATTTTAATGGCGCGTCGAGATATAGACTCGATTGTGTGTTGTATCAACATAGTGTTTTCTCCTTCTTTGACAGCGAGGCTTGTTTGAGCTAATGGCGATGAAGATGGCGGAGTTTTATTTTATATACAGTTTATTTTACTTGTCCCTTGAAAAACCAAGAGCGTGTGAAGTGGGCACTTATGATGACCCTGTTTACTTAGCCTCACTCTTATTCTGGTGGTAACAGGGATGAAAAAGCGAATACCATCATGCTCTCTACATATGTATATATTTTTTGTTGTTGTTGTATTAAGACCGAAAGGGTTAAGATTAAAGAATTAAAACGTATCTCAGGATCGCATATTAATAAAATCCCGAATCCGTAACCTCTTTTTTGTTTGCGTCTACCCACAACTTCTGACTTAGATTAAAATTTTGAAAAACAGCTCTCTACATATGTATATATGACCGAATTAAAGCATTAAAAAATATCTCAGGATCGCATATTAATAAATTTCGTAACCTCCTTTTTGCGCCTACCCACAACTTCTGTATTAAATTAAAAAATTTGAAAAACATCTCAAAATCACATTTTAATACATTCCGTAACCTTTATTTTTTTGCCTATACCCAGAATATCTGTTGGGATTGAGGTGTCCAAACAATTGAAGCGGTTCCTGGACAATGTTCAATAATATTATCTTTACTTGGATGGTTAAACATACATTATGACGTCACATTAATAATGACGTCATTGTATAAATCATATTAAACATACATTATCCAAGAGCTAAATCTGCCTATTGCAGGTCTTTATTTAGGCCTTAAATGTTTTCTAAATTATTAATTAGACATTAAATAACTTATTCAGACCATAATCAACTCTCGATGTCATCGCTAGCCTGCGATATTTACTAGATCTCATTCATGATTAAATCAAAAAATGAATAATCGAAACTATATTTTTTTTATCGTACCGCTAAATTCTCGGTTCAGAGTGGATCAGTTTGCATAAGCGGACGTAAATTAAAGCTATTTCACACACAATTGCTACACAAATCACAAAATCACAGAGCCTTAACGTCCCCAAACTCTAATAAGGTTGCCGAAATTTAAAAACATTTCGCGTGTTTGCCCCGGTGATTTTGATTCATTAAAAATGTCATGATTCCATATAAATGCTTTTTGTGTGTTAAATGAAATGAAATGAAATGGAGTTTAACGTCCTACTTTTTTTTTGTGTGTTAAAGCCGAATGGAATACAAATGGAACCAGATTTGATATAGTTATTTAATGCGGGGAATGGCTTTGATATTCGTTTGTTTCCTCGTGTTGCCAGAAGAAGTTACCTTCGTGACTTTCCGCCGAACTCAAGACGAAAGTTTCTCGACTTTACGTGTCAGAAAGCACGTCATGACTGCGACAACTTGGTGGATGCACTGAAGCAACCTTTGACGATTCGTTCAACCTGTAAAAAAATATATGACTGAGTAACTTTTGGTATTTGGTTCAAGCGGTGCGAATGCCATAAATAGACGAATCGGTCGTTGGGCAGGAGTTTTTGTGAATGGGCGACTTTAAGAGCATTTCGTCTATTTTGCCGCTTGTATAATCCCGACCAAAAGGTGGAAAAGGGGTTTGAATACGTTTGACCTTTGAACGTCGCTAAAACTTCCCAAACATGAGAGAATGATGGGAAGATAGGAGGGGTTAATCGGCAGCAGTTAGCAGGTACATGCCAACAGGTTGCTACTCTCTCTGATCTCATCTCAACTGCACATTCTATTGGTCCCTAACTCAGGTTCATCTCGACTCCTTTAAATCCATGTTGATTTTCACCAACAGACAAAGTCACGAAAATCGCTACTTGGACAAACAGAGATCTCAGGCGCTACTTCTCCTGCTCAAGTTGACTTTTGTTTCGCTTAATTAGCCCAGTGTTTTCCGTTTCAAGTTTTTTGTTAACCTGTAAAGACAGAAAAGTCACGAGTGCCGAGAGAAGGGAAAGCGTGACGAATGTTTCATGTTGTAGCGCCATAGACAATCACATGGGCGTGTTAAAATGCCGACGTCCGACGAGAAAATTTTTGTCTGGTCCTAGTTAAGAAGCTTTGTGTTTTGCGAGTTTGGTTGTCAATAGTTACAGATAATGAGACGACAAATGTTTGAATGAGGGGTTGTGTTTTTCCCTTCATTTTCCCCTGGGAGTGCGAAAGAGTACTGGAATTAAATGTCAAGGTTTGGTGTGCCTCGATTATCAACGTGATTAGGGAATGATATGGAAATTAAAGTAGCTAAGTCTCTAACTCAATATCATCCAAAGTCTTCGACATTGAAAACACGAATTATTTGTCAATTTAAATCAACATTGATGCTGTGATCTTACCGGGAAAAGATGGGCTTCTGTTATCCAATATTTAAACAAAATAAATTTTTACCATTAGTACACGAATCGTGTACCATAATGCGTTTCAGCGCCATTTGTGACAAGGGACTCGAAGAATGAGTTAAGACATATTCCACAAGTCATGTCCAACGCTGACGTCATATTCTTGTCTGGAGAGCATGTGCAATAAATACTATCGGTGTGGACTGGAATAACCAGACGCTAGAGTTTGCCATTCGTTGGAGACTTCTGGCGTACTTCGACCATCATAACTGATGAGAAATTACAGTAAAACAGAAACGATTGAATATAAATCAATTTATATACATTCATATTACATTATTATATGCGTTGCGACCCATCTGTGTCAATTTCTAGGTCCCAAATATTAGCAATCTATATAGAGCTCCTTTAAATGGAGTTTTGTGGCACGTCAGCACCAACTCGTCAATATTGCGACAAATGAAATGAAATAGGGTTTAACGTCCTACTGTTCTGCTCCGAACTGGGCTAATGAAGACGGGCATACGCCATACTGTGTGCTATGAGGGAAATTTGGCCCGGACGACTATACGTTGTTCCTTGTCAGGCCCTCTGTTCTGCATCTCTGACAAAGGGGAACCACATCGGAAAATGGTGATGACCTTTCTCGGCCAACACAGGGATCGGGGCGCGCGACATTCACCCACTGAACTACCGTGGCTCCCAAGGGCTTGGTAAGTGACAACATTTAGTCGTTAGGGTGGGACAAAAAACGAGATACCATTTACACATTGACGTGCACGTAAAAGAACCTTTGACAGTTGGAATTCAATATAAGAGTATGCCATAGTGCCACTGTCCGGATACAATTCATACCACTTTCTTTCTACATGTATTTTCAGATGCATCGGTTGTCATGGACCATAGGGTCTTAGTTTGGGCATATTTTCTAGAACGTTAAATTGATACCACTTCCTTTCTCTTTTCAGATTCATCGGTTGCCATTAAAATAGGGGGATGTTTCCCAGGTACGGGAGTTTTACAGACAGAAACAGGCTGGAAAACCATGTCACAAGTAGTAGCCGGGGACAGTGTTTTAAGTATGAATAGCAATGGGAAATTAGAATACAGTCCAGTTATAGCGTTTATAGACAGAAATGAACGGGAGTTGGAACGGTATATCACTCTTCATACGGAAGATAAAAAAGACATTACGTTAACATCTAAACACCTCATTTACATGTCGACATCAAACGTCACAACCGATGACGTAACAGACTCTTTTAATGTGGTGTATGCCGATGATGTCATAGAAGGCGATTACGTCTTAGTTACGTCAGATCCGGTAGGGGAGGTAATTAAACCCACGAGGGTTTTGACAATAAGTGAACATACTATACAGGGTGTGTATGCACCTCTAACTTTGAACGGCAATATAGTTGTCGACGGTGTGGTGGTTTCCTGTTACGCCGTGGTTTCCAACGCTAATTTAGCCCACGTTGTGTTCGCGCCAGTGAGAGGACTCCACGTTTTATCTCAATACGTACCCTGGCTAGCGCCATCAACGCACCACCAAAATTTTACACAGAATGGAGTACATTGGTACGCTAAGCTTCTTTACAACATAGGTTCAACGTTTTTAAGCGCAGAGACGCTGCATGTACCCTGAGGAATAAACCATTACCTCAAATTGTAAAATCGGACTTGTCTACGAGGTGGACGCAAAGGGCTAGTCACATATCGTCTGAATAATAAACCAAGGGCGACACAAGGGATTATCTCCCTTTCTTGTTACCTCATCAAAAAGCTTTAACTTTTTATTCCCTTATTTGGGAGTTATGTAAAATTGTAAATCTCTGTTGCTTTCGTATATTTGACGTAATCGAGATCCGTGGACAGATTTACTGTTGCGTTGGAAAGATATTTGTTTATCTCTGTGATGAGTGCTAAGATGAAAACGATGATATTTCATGGACACGAGACAAGGAACGACAATCAAATTGATTGGCTATAACCCAAAAAGAATAAATGACGTCACAAAGTATGTGAAATTCAAATGTGCAAAAGGACGCCATTTTGTTTTTTATTAGTGTATAGAGATGATACTGTGAATAATGAACCAGATATTTACTCTAATAGTCTCAACAACCTATGATACAACAATTAACATGCGATAGAGATATCAAGATATTATAAAACTTGCTATATTCTTGATATCATTAATAATCTATAGCTACATAATATGTGTATTTTTGTAAGTGGAAATTTGAGTGTAAATGCTTTGTTAAATATTACATAATATCTATAATTATTCGTTAAAATATTATCATGTTCATTTTAAGCTTCAAATGATCTGATAAGGAAAATCAGTGATCTGAAATTAATTAACCCTGGATTTTAAAAAATATAGGGATTTCAAATTAAAGTTTGACGGATTTAAGGCGTTGTTGCATTTCACGCATAATAGGAAATGCTTTTCTTTTTTAAATTATGAAAACCCTTTAAAATATTCTATAGAAATTTGTTGATCGGCTATTGATTTGTGTTTGTTATTGAAAATGATAATTAATTTGAGCTATTTTGAATTGGCCCCCTAAAAATATTACTTTTTCTAAGGTTCATATTTAACAGAAGCCATGGCTGTTTTTTCCTCGCACAATAACACGCGTTATCCTGTATGGCTTTAAGTGTTTTCGGGTAGAATTTGTCTACAATTATATGTCGTTTTATTTTTCGATTCTTGGATCTTGGTTTTTATTTTTGTAAAGCTCATAAACCGAAGCTACAATTGTGATTTCTACATGTTGCATGTTTCTTTTGATTTTCTCGGTCATCAAGTAACAGGTTACTAACATATCCCATAATTATCTTCTTTTTTTAAAAAAAAAAAAAAACCCAAACAAACACAAAACACACAGTAATCTCCCTTACTTGTGAACATATAGAAAAACACAGCGGTTGTGATTACGTCATACTATTAGGTTTCGCTTTATTTGTTGGATGAAAGTTTATGTTGGTGTATTTTGTGCGAGTCTGTGATTATAGCTGCTTTGTGCGCATGCGCGGACTCACAACAACGTCCAAACTCTGGAGGCCTTTAGATGTATCGTTGTCGAGCTTTTGTAATCGCTGTAAATAGTTTATGACGTCATTTGCCCATCCTAGTGCTGTTTGATGTAATCAAAGTCTTGGTCAATTTGTCACACTTATGTATCTATATACATATATATAGTCCATCGGCCAAGCGCCTCACATTTCGAAAGTACTGTTCTTTAGCTTCCAGAAAATGTATGTATTGGGGTCTTTTCACATGTATATAGTACCTAATGGAAACGGTTGTACGAAATTAAAGATACATTATATAAGATTTAGAAAATAGATAATGCAAAATCAATCTATTGAAAATTTCATTCAAATTGCTCCATTGCGAGAGCAGATATTAGCTTTTGAAGGTTTGACAAGACGTGTGCGTAGCCTCGCTTCACCATTTTTAGATTAAATCAAAATATGGCCGAATCGTTCTAATTTACTTAATATCGGAGATATCCGATGGCATCGGGAGTTGATTATGATCTTGTCATGTTAATAAAAGTTTAATTAATAGTTTATATGACATTTCAGGCCTAAAGAAAGACCTGCAATAGGCAGATTTGACCCTTGCATAATGTATGTTTAAGCAGTATACATGTATCGAGATTCAATAGTATCCCATTTTCCATTCCAAATCAGGTAAAATTCCCAGACGATTGGGGCATCTGTAATATTGCTTCAATCTCGGGGCCTTGGTCAGTTTTGTTTACAGGACAATTCTCATTATTTTAATTACATATTGCCACTACTCTGACCTGATTTGGAATTGAAAGTTTTGTAATATTTAGTTTATGTTTAATTTATCTTTACTGTTGCATTTTCTTCAATAATTTCCATATAAGGCGATATTGCTATATATGTATGTGATAAGTCTCCCAGTACGACCACGCCCCCCCCCCCCCCCCCAAATCAAACCATATAATTACAGAAAGCTGGGGAAAATAACTTTCTGATGAAACCACACGAAAGCTAAAACTCTTTTGAGAAATGGCTGGCGAACAATCTGATAATCGGATTAAAACACAGACAGATCCTATTTCGTTTCGTTTTATATAGTTCAAAATTTCGTTTTACTTGTGGTTACTACACTAAGATTTGGAAGAGTTGTTATATTACCTGTGTTCTGGTTGAAGTGAGGGATTAGTCAATGAAATGGTCTGTCACGGCGAGTTCTTGGCGTTTGATGCACGGAACTATGGGTAAACCACTAGAAACGTCAACGCTGATTGGTTAATCAATGTGTAACGTCATAGGGCCAAAAGCCGCTCGTAGGACCCCTGAAGCGACCTTCTAGTACAACTGGTCAGATCTTCATGTGGTAGAGGCTATCGAAACTATAAAAAAACGAAACGGAATATAGATTTTTATTTTATTCAGATTGGCTGATGGACTAATATTAATATTTGGAATATTATGTTAAAAGAGGCTTATATTTGGTGTTTATGAATATATAATATTTAATAGCATTCTCTGGGCAGAAAGCTTCGAGAATATTGTTTAATTGTTAGATTCTTTATTGACTCCTTTAAAAAATATCGCATTCTGATGTTAAATATTTTTAATTCAATTATATAGAAATAGTATTCCCGTTGATTTTGTAAAGTTCGATTTTTCCCCCTACGTACTGACCACTGTTTTAGTTTTAAATAAAGTCTATGAAATGTTAAATAAATATTTTCAACCGTGAAAATATTACAATTTCATCTTGCCAAAATACTAATATAATAATATACGTGCATGTTCTTTGTAAATTATTCTTTGCCAATGGTCCAAACATCCGGTATCACTGTTTGTGACGTTCTGCCTTTCTGTGCTTGTTTTTTTCTAATGCTTATATATATATACCCCCCTCCAGTACATTGCTCTTGATTAAACCAAAGATATTATTATTGAATGTAAAAAACAAAACTTTTATGTGTTTCCATAATCATTTCAAGAATAACCATGTGAACTCAGTTAGCACTCAATTTCAAATAAGAAACTTATTACATTAGTAAACTCAGTGAAAACTCAATTGCAACTAAGTAACCAAGTAAACTCAATGAACACTCAAGTTCAATTAAGTAAACAGTAACCAAGTAAACTCAATGAATACTCAAGTTCAATTAAGTAAACAGTAACCAAGTAAACTCAATGAACACTCAAGTTCAATTAAGCAAACAGTAACCAAGTAAACTCAATGAACACTCAAGTTCAATTAAGTAAACTCAATGAACATTCAAGTTCAATTAAGAAATTTATTACATTACTAAACAGTAAACCAATTAAAATCAGTCAGCACTCAATTTCAAGTAAACTCGGTCAGAACTCAATTTCAAGTAAACTCAGTCAGAACTCAATTTCAAGTAATCTCAGTAAGGAACTTATTGCATTACAGAATCTGCATGATTTCAAATAAAGGACTATTCATAGTGCATGTTACAATGGTATTTTCCATTTAGATAGTGCATGTTGGAATGGTATCTAAAACGTTCATATTATAATATCTATGAATCTTTAACTAACATTGAAGTAGTGGCGGGTGCCGTGTGCCAAGCAGAGTATCGTTATGCTACATTTTCTTCAACACTTATTGTATATGATTTAAAACGACACAAACACAAAGTATTGTTAGCCATGGGAATGCCCAATTGAACGAGCAGCGGTATCAACAAATTTGTTCAGTGCAACTACTTGAACACCTCGAATGAGAAGTAGTACCAGGTGTTTTAGAACGAGTAAGCATACCGTACCTCGTACATGTCACCCGTCAGTATAAACTAATATGTGTTAAGTCTCAGTCTTTGTCTTACAATCTTACAAGCTAACCAGTAAATTCAAATGTTTTAGAAACATAATATAATGGCCAGTTATGGACTGTCAAATTCAATGCAATTTTTATATAAAACTTGTTATGTAAAATTATTCTTTTTTTTTTAAGTTTGAGTTGCTCTTTTCATATTGTTTTAAGTGTCCGAAAAGCGATTTAATAAATGGGATTTATATTGTGGGCGTTGCCGATTCTTATTTAACGACATTTCGGTGACAAACTTATGAAAGAATAAAACTATGAAATAATCCAAAAGTAATCGAATTGCGTCAAGTTCATGTGTCATATTTAGCGCCAGTATGTATCCAAAACGGTCACATCTTTTCTGTGTACTTATAAATATTTTATGCGGATATAAGATCGCACATGGTTTTATTGCAGTAGAGATCGGAAATGACGTAAAATGTCTAAGTTACGATGAAAGTGCGCAAACTCATAATTGTTTTTAACATGTCATGTGCGTTTTTGTTGAAAGATCTGCTATGTTACGGTGGAACTGCGCAAACTCGATAGTGTAATTTAAGTTGTCATGCGCGTTTTTTGTTGAAAGATCTGCTAATGTTAATAATAATACACGTTTAATTAGACAGTTAGGCCACAACAATTTGAGTTTCTGTTCTTCGGGAAAACCTTTAAAAAAAATTACTTCTTATTTTAAAACTAATTTAAAAACCAAGAGTACTTGGTTGCACTGTTCAAAAGCTTTCAGTTCCAAAGATTGAAGTTTTAAACAAAACAACTTTCATGTTAAATTATTTCAATGGCATTTAGTAATTGAACTGGAATATACAGGTCACAATTCTATGGAATACAATTATCAAGATTGATAATGACTAGAGAAGCCTACACTGTAACAAAAATTTCCGTGAAAAAACGTAAAAAATTCCGGAAACAAAGATTACCAGGAAAATTTTATCCGTATTTGGTTTTCCTGTAATTTACAGAAATTCCCTCAATTAACATAATTCCATTTTCAAATACAGAAAAAATAATCCCAATAAATTTTGTTTCCTGACGATGAAGGTGATAAAAATTTCATTTAATTAACCATTGACTTTAGACGCGTGCGTGAAATAGCTTTATTTAACGTCCGCTTCCACCGAAGTGATACCGCAGATAATCTTTAAACGTAACCTCTTTTCGCAATTTTAAGAATCGAGAGCAAGGTATCTCAACCCGCTACTCGTCAATGGTTGAAGGGCTTTCAGATGTAAGTTTGCGGTATTATCAATTCGCAGGTATTTCGACTCTGCCATAGAGACAAACCGACTTACACTGGCCAACGGGTTGTACTATCCGGATCTAAGCATGCTTGATCACCAGATATTACAAACTTAATGCACGCAGCATTAAAACATATTTTTATATATTTCTGAAAATACTTACAATCTGATTTCCGTATGATGAATAACAATACACTTTATAGATCTTATAAATAATGGAAACTAGATATACATGACAATTAATATACCAAACTTTACAAAATATGATTCTTCATATTATGGTTAATAAATTGAAATGAATACTATAACATGATGATTATTCGGAATGATTATATATGTATACGATTACTTATCGTTGCACCGTTTATCCCGTAAAATAACAGACTTAAGTCCATTACAGAACGGAATAAAACATTTTATCCCTAAATTTCAAGGAACTTCCTTGTCATTCTACCGTTTATTCCGTAAAATAACAGAATTAAGTCCATTATAGAAGGGAATAAAACATTTTATCCCTAAATTTCACGGAAATTTCCTGTTTAATACTGAATATTCCACAGAAATACATAAAACACGTAATTTGAAGAAATAATTCACACTATTAACACAATTTCGCCAAAAAATCCATCGATTAACAGAAAAAAAGTGTTAAATTACGGAATTCGGCCACATAAAAAATGGATATTTTTTACAGTATAGTCGAAACGTCGCTCAGTAATACGCAGTAATTGTTGTATTCCATAGAATTGTGACCTGTATATCTGTCATGTGATTCAAAGTCAATTTATTTAATAAAATCCCGAAGAACAGAAAAAATAATTGGTTTGGCCTAATGTAATATGTTTTTTTTTTATGTTTTTCTTTGTTTATAACATGTCTAGACCTCGACGAACAGAACATAGAATTGGTTTGGCCTAATGTAATATGTTTTTTTATGTTTTTTGTTTATACCATGTGTTTATGTATATACTATAACGACTGTATTTAAGTTACTTATTTCTCTAACAAATGTTCTGATCCAAAGAGAAACGGAAACATTTTTTTTACTATGAGAGCCGGGGCTCGATTTATTGCTTATATTTTATTTATTTCGTTATTGTAAAAAGAATACAATAAACTCTTAAATTTAAATATTGTTTGTTTTTTGGGGGTTTTTTTATAAAAAAACAAAAAAAATTTACTGAGCTCAGAGGTTGGGTGGGTTGTTGTTGTTAGTTGAAGATTTGACGTCCGCGTAAGACGCTGGCTCGCTATCCTGGAGGTCAGGTGTTCAATCCCTGCATTGGCCGAAAAAGTTGATCGGGATTTTCCGACGTGGTTTCCCAGGAAGAAGGGCCTGACAAGGACAGCTATCTAGTCGTTCGAATGGGACGAAAAACCGAGGTCCCGTGTATACTTTGACGTGCACGTAAGATATCCCTTGGCAGTTGGAATTCGATATGAGTAGGCCATAGTGCCGCTGCCCGGGCAAAACTTACCTCATAGCACACTGTATGGCGTATGCCCGTTTTCATTAACCAAGTCCTAGCAGAACAGTAGGACGTTAAAACCCCGTTTCATTTCATTTCATTTCCACTCCATCCTGTATTTTAGTGTGGGATGTCCTGACAAAACTTGTCATACAGCACTCTGTATAGCATACCGTCTTCATTAGCCCAGTTGGTGCAGAAAGGTAAGACGTTTTATTTCCTGTGGGAGGAACCCGGAGAATCCCCGTCTCACCCCCTCACCCCCCCCCCCCCCTCATTATAACGCCGGGTACAGATAGATAAACATTCCGCAGACAGTGATTCGTCTACTTCACACTTCGAGAATAGATCTCTGTCCTAAATGGCCGCCATATCCAACAATTAGAATACTGTTTTGTAATGCCGTCCTACTCTCGTTCACATCTGTTATACACAAAAAGACTAATTATACCTTTTCAATTTTATTAAATAGAAGCAGAATGTATACTTCTCAAAATTCTCGAAATATACTTAGTGTTATCGACTAAAATCGTCGATTCAGGACATGAAATGTAAGTCAACTAACTTAGTGTCTATTCTCAGGCGCAGCTAACTGTAGACAGATCGCGTAGTTTAGTATGATAGATAGGGGACTGAATCGTTAGCGTGTGCACGCTGTATCATAATGTCTGTCATTGAGTCAGCTGGCGTGGTTTCGAATCTCCGATTGTACGTGACAAGGAGTAGGGTCGCCTCTCCAACTTCGTGGGTTTTCTCCAGGTCCGCCAGTTTCCTCCCACTGCTAAAGATCCCTACGCGCACGCGAATTATTGAAATAAAATTAAACCATATGTTAGTCCCGAAATGACCTAGTTTGTGTCGAGTGGACGTTAAACCTCTCTCTTTCTCTCTCTCTCTCTCTCTCTCTCTCTCTCTCTCTCTCTCTCTCTCTTACGTATAAGTAAAATTAAATGGGGTTTAACGTCCTACTTTTCGAGTGGCATAATGCATGCGCTTCAGATCATTAGATGAAAAGGAGAAGGGTTTTCTTCGTGTCCCCCCACAGTTAAAGGCCCCTCTCTCTCCCCCCCCCCCTCTCTCTCTCTCTCTCTCTCTCTCTCTTTCTTACGTATAAGTAAAATTAAATGGGGTTTAACGTCCTACTTTTCGAGTGGCATAATGCATGCGCTTCAGATCATTAGATGAAAAGGAGAAGGGTTTTCTTCGTGTCCCCCCACAGTTAAAGGCCCCTCTCCCTCTCCCCCCCCTCTCTCTCTCTCTCTCTCTCTCTCTCTGTATCTTAATTACACAATCAATCTGATTACCTCGTCTAGACACGGATTAACAAAGTTTACACGATGTCACGTGAAAGACGAGAAGAGAAATCAATCGTTCAACCGAGATCAATATCATGGCGTTTTCTTGCTGTCACATTCGGTTAGTCAACTGACCAGTCCAGCTACTGAGACCAATAATTACTCTTTAGTATTGAATACTGACTAGTTAGGAATCTTGGAGGGTGGGGGGGGGGGGAATGCGAGGCAGTGGGGATCCGCACAGTAAATCAGACCATGCTTGTTTTTCTGCACAATTGCAGTAATTCTGATCCTCAATCTGTTTAAAATACAGATGTATATTTCGTTTCGGATTTTTATACGTTTGATGGCCTCCATTATATGACGATCTGACCGGTTGTAGTGGAAGGTTGCGTAAGAGGTCATATGAGCAGCCTTTGGCCCTATGACGTCAGACATCAGCGCTGATGTTTCTAGTGGGTTACCCACAGTTCCGTGCACCTCACCGTGCACAGTTTCATTGGCTAATCCCTCACATTATCCAGAATGCGCCTTATATAACAACTCTTCCAGTTCCTAGTGCAGTAAAGACAAATAAAACGAAATTTTAAACTATAAAAAACGAAACGAAATAAGATCTGTGTTTTAATCAGATTGTCTGATGCTTGAAATGGCATCCATTTTGGTAACGTATCATATTTAATTCAGTTATAAAACCGCTTTCAAACCGGAAATTAACACATACACTATTTACCGTTAGAGCATGGCTAACAGATTTTGACAATATAAAGCAGTTTTATTTTATTTTGAAACGATGTTAGTCACCGTCACAATAAGCTCCACTCATCGTGTTTCGCACGGATAAAAAGGGAAAAGTCTTCATTAATGGAAGAATCTGATGATTAGTATTTTATAAAACTTTTTGGGGGGGATCACGGTAACTAAGTGGGTAAGACGCTGGCTCGCTAGCCTAGAGGTCGGGTGTTCGATCCCTGCATTGGCCGAGAAAGTTCATCCAGATTT